TTCATCTTGTACTATTATTTCATTTTTAGTGCCGTTTTTAAACAGTTTTGCCAGACGGTCATTTATTCCGGATAAATTCCGTGATTTTGTTTTTCTCAATTGCGTTGGCCGGCTAAAATTTATGATAGGGGTACTTCCTAATTAAATTTTAAATACCGCAAAAAGAAAATAAATGGAATTTTTATAGCAAAAGCTACAAATAAACTAGCATATATTGAGTTATCGGCCTTTTTTTGCCTTTTTTGTTCTCGGATTTGGCCGATTTTAGGCACCCTAATTATGTATCACAACGTCCTGGAGAAATACATTTCGTGGCACGCATATGTACCATTTCGTAGTCAACGTGTTAAGTTGAAAAGAAAACATTATTTTAAAAATACTGTTTATTCCATCCAAACTTCATTGAACCAGGTTTTATTTTTATAATCTTGAATTAATTGATATATTAGGTTAGAACCAGCTCGACAAATTAAATAATTCTTGTAAAAATCTGTAATAATTTCTACCACAGCGTATCAATAATAACTACTCACATTCCAAAATTCAAGAAAATCCGTTCAGTATTGGAGAAATTATGAGTGGTTCAGTAGCGCGAGTCCGCAGGCGAGTTCGCAGGCGGGTCCGGAGGTGTCGATTCAGTGTTATCTGATCATGTTCCATCACTGTTATCTTATCTTATTCCATCACTGTTATCTTATCTTATTCCATCACTGTTATCTCATCATGTTCCATCACTGTTATCTAATCTTATTTCATCACTGTTACTTCATCATGTTCCATCACAGTCATCTTATCTTCTTCCATCACTGTTATCTCATCATGTTCCATCACTGTTATCTTATCGTATTCCATCACTGTTATCTCATCATGTTCCTTCACTAGGATCTCATCATATTCCATCACTGTTATCTTATCTTATTTCATCACTGTTACTTCATCATGTTCCATCACAGTCATCTTCTTCCATCACTGTTATCTCATCATGTTCCATCACGGTTACCTTATCTTATTCCATCACTGTTATCTTATTTTATTCCATCACTGTTATCTCATTGTTCCATCACTGTTATCTCATCACGTTCCATCACTGTTATCTCATCATGTTCCTTCACTGATATTCACTGCCCATATTGCCATCATGAGGAGTTATTCGGGTATGATGGACTGAGAGAAGGCACCCAGCCAAAGATAAGGGCGATGCAAATAACTTCGTTGTAGAAAATTATGTTGTGGTGGAAGTCCAAACGTGTGGTGAAGTATATTGTTGAAGGCTTGCCAAAATTAAAGATTTAGTCAGATTTAATTGAAGTTTTAACAAGGTTAAGTTAGGAATTTTACAAGGTTAAATTAGAGATTTTTCAATATTAAGTTTGAAATTCAATAAGATTAAACTGAAGATCAACAAAATTACATTGAAGATTTTTGAGCCGTTGATAAGAAGACATTGATATAAGGTATTGACAAGATTATACAAAATAAGACATTGATTAAGGCCTTTGAAGATCAGACAACAGCCGTAAAAACAGTACGATTTAACCAAGCGATTGAATCCAGTTTTTGGTTGCGTCCATGACACACGAAATGTTCATGACTAATCATCGAATTTAGTTAAGCCCAAACTGATCAGTTACGAAAATACATTAAAAATTTTTCTCGAATAATATTGTGTCCGAAGCACGAATAGCCTGTTGAAGAACAGACTAGACGAAGCTATGCAGGAGCATATGTTCAGTCTTAAAATGCCTAGCAAATTACGGACCAGGCAATAAGTCCAGCAGCTATCTCAATCAATCGTCAGTTATGGAAAGATCGGGTTCCAAAGGCCGGATCCCTTGTGAATCAAGTCACGAAAAGTTCAAGAATCGGCAACAGGCCATGGGCCTATTTCTTCAGCGCCGACACTTCTATTTTATTCTAAAACAATTACAAAACATGGGTCAGTCAAGTCATAAAATTGCGTTCAGGATGATTAGACTGAATTTATAGCATTGATTCATTTGACTGCCTGTAAACGACAATGAAAGAATTTTGTACCAAGATATACGCCAAAATCACCGTATATAAATTTATTCGAAATTTTCCTAATCAATCGATATTTTTTTTTAACAGTAATTTAAATTACCGAATTTAAAAAATAATGCTTAGATAACAATTAATATTGAAGTACGAATCATTATTGCCTTATTAGGCTACGATGCAAAATAACACTGTTATTTTACACTACACTACTTTTTTTACTTTATTTTACACTACACTACACTAAATAACACTTTTTTAGATGACGATTTCTTACTGAAACACAGAAGCGTAAATAGAAAAGTAGAATTAATTAGCCTATTTACAAACTGGAGACAGGAAAGTCGTTTGAAATTTAATAATTGAAGTGAATAGAATAACCCAAATGAAGCGGAAACAAACACCATGCAACAAAAACGTTGGGCATTAGACGGCAATGAAATCGCTGATGTTTCGAGGAAGATACTAAAATGTTAAAGGAAATTTCGCACGCTGAATAAATTAGATCAGTAACGCTATCATAAGAGGAAACTATTGACGAGTACTGCCTTTAAACTAAATTTTTTAATAGTGCAAAACACTGCTGAAATAATTAGGCAAGGTAAATAATTCGGTGAATACGGTAAATGCTTAGGCGAATGAGGTAAATAATCATCATCGAAAACTAAGAAATCAGCCAATTTGACGGTCAAGACGGTTACTCCACTCAATCTGGTATGATTCAGAGGCATCGTTATCTCAAGTGATGATAATGATAGAGCAGGCTGCCAGATGCGTGGTCGCTCGATCGATGCTTCAAAGGAAATTCTTCTTTAAATGATACGCTTTTGCATAATTGATACTCCGAGTGTTGCGTCCATATCCAGACTGTCGCGAAAAATGCTGTAAAATGGTCTGACTGGCACTTAAGTGGCCGGCTGCCCAGTGAAATAAAACAGTGTGTGTTTTTTTCAAATTAACATATGAAACCATAGAAATACTTGGAAAAACGGCGAAGCAGCATAAATTCACTGGAGTGGCCGTACACAAGAAGGACGTTTAGAACGTTTTTTGACCGTTATTTCGAACAGTGCAGAAGCCTGGTGTTTGGAGGATAGATGACAGAGATAGAGATGCAATCTCATGTCCTCATGTTTTCGCAGCACATTACTTGTACATTTTTATCTATGACTGTGAGACCTCACAGGCTGCTTGAATCGACGGCAGTTCACAGAAGAAAGCGTCGGGTGTAAGACGCGACAGTTTCTTGGTATTCTAGGTTAAATTTCATACAGTTAAAAATGATAAACTACCAAACGTATTGTTTGGGCAACAGTGAGTGTGAAATGTTTTTCGGGAACCAGCATTTCGCCTAAAACGTTGATGTTTTATCACTCGATGCGTACGACCAACTATATCACTAATCATGGGATGAGAAAGCAGTATAGCAATTTCATTCCTATTCCTACATGGAAAGTTTCTAAATGATCAAATAAAATACAATACCTATTTCAAGCTATCGAGAGGCTTTGTACATGTAAGGTGTAACTATAATTTATTTATAGCTTATTACACTAAATTTTCATTTGTTTTTTACTCAGTCTCTAAACGAAATTTCGAGACTTGACGTTTCGAGGCTTGAGGTTTCATTATTATCCAGTATCTAATGTTAAAAAAATTGTTGCTGCCACGGCTCCAATGGTTGCATTTCTTATTTCTCGGTCGGCAGAACTCATTCAAAAACTTTGAACTGTTTACAAATTCAGATTGTTTGAATTTGAAGTCGGTATGTATCGAGAGATCCAGCAACCATGTCAAATTCACCAAACATACTTGTCGATATGCGTAATTTTTTCAAACTGTTAGAGTTTGGAGCAATTTGGTTCTTACTGGTTTAAAATGAAGCGATACTGAAAGACTGAAAGGAAACCTCACCAGCATAAGAAATCAATATGTAGAAGCTGAAAGGAACGGATAAAGTTATAAAAATATTGAAATTTTACACTGTAAAATTTTTTACGACGGCCACTCATAGAGCACTTCCTAAGAGAAGAGGAAATGAACATTGGCGTCAACGTCTTTCATTTGAGTTTTCATTGCAGTTTCCACGCGTAAGTTTGGTAAAGTACTTTATAAGTTGCGGGGAAGCAGTGGTTTAAAGAAATTATTTTCCTCTTAGACGCGTCATTTGTACAGACTACCGATATAGAATATTTAAGAGTTCTGAAACATTTGGATCGAGATCACTTAATTAAAAGAATTTATTAATTAAATCATATAATAAAACAAAGTGAAATACAGTTACCCACCAACATGGCCACCGCAACGCTGGAGTGCAAACTATGTTTCGAAGAATACGACTCGGGCGACCACAAGCCGCTTTGCCTGCCTTGCGGCCACTCGTTTTGCTTCTCATGCATTTTACGTTTACCAGCTAATTTTGACGGCAGAATCTGCCCAAATTGCAAGAAGCAAACATCGCAACCAATTGAGGAAATGTTGGTCATTTATGAATTAATTCCATCCGGGAGTGAGTCTCGTCAACGTTGCGTGCGCAAAAAAAAAACAGTCTAGGGCGACGTGCCCCAAGCACCAAAAGGCGCTGGACTACCTGTGCGTGAACTGCATGGAACTCGTGTGCTTCACGTGCTCCAAGAGCACGCACTATACGCACAAAATTGAAGTGAAAGACGACCTGCTTCAGGGAGGTGAAGGCGTTGTGGATTCCAGGACAAAAATACGAAGTAAGATGCAATACAATCTTGCTTTACATAATGTTATACTATCGAAGTATGACGAAATGTTGAAGTTTATTGAAGAAATCAACAATTTTGAACCTGATGTTGTGAGCAAACGAAATTTAATTCGAAACCATGTAACGTCTATCGAGCAAGATCTTCAGGCCTGGGATGCCCCAGCTACCAGTGCTGATAGGCGCAAGATGCGCCAGTTTAGTGAAATTCTCGGCAGCCTGAAACCTGTAAACGACGAATTCAATTTGTACCATGGTAAATGGGAAAAAATTATCGCATTTGTCAAGAAATACTATCCATTGGAGGTGAGAAAAATTTTGCACCACTCTGAAATTTCAATCAAGCATCCAAAGATTTTCAGTCAAAAATATAGGGAAATATTTATGCTTTCGAGTGACAAACAAATTGTAAAATAAGTAACCAAACAATTGATCTGTCTGAGAATTAAATCCAAATTCGGATCTGCACTTCATTCGTTCTTTAAGCACTTATATGACACTCATTTTCCATTCACTAATCATTAATTATTCATTCATGTTTTATTAATTAATCAATTTACTAATCATTAATTAATTATTCAAGTATCATTAATTACTGCACTCACAATTCGTTAATTCATTTCCCCAAATGGATAAGGAAGCTCCAGGCATGAATCTGGTTAATTAGTTAATGAGATGAGTTAAAAATATAAGAAAATCAAAAACTATTGCAACATTCACTGCAAAAGTGTTTGATAGAGATGGCCCGAATGGGTGTTGTAATAAGAGTTTGTTGCAGTGACGCGTGTTGTAATTGATGTTTGTATCAGTGACGCGTGTTGTAATTGGAGTTTGTTGCAGTGACGCGTGTTGTAATTGGTATTTGTTGCAGTGACGCGTGTTGTAATTAGTGTTTGTTGCAGTGACGCGTGTTGTAATTGGTATTTGTTGCAGTGACGCGTGTTGTAATTGGTATTTGTTGCAGTGACGCGTGTCTTAAAATATGTGCTTTTTACCAATGTCCGGAATATATTTTTCCTCTCAAGGTACTCGACCCGCAACTCGGAAACATCTTCGGACTCCCCCTCGTACGCTTCTTCGAACTTCTGTACGCACACTTCCTCGGATTCCTCTTCGGATACTTTCTCGGACTCATCCTCGGATACTTTCTCGGACTCCCCCACGGACATTTCATTGGACTCCTCTTCGGACACATCCTCGGACTCATCTTCGAATATTCTTACGGACCCCCCATCGGACACTTCCTCGGACTCGTCCTCGGACACTTCTTCGGACTCTTTTTCGGACGCTTCCTCGGACTCCTCCTCGGACTCTTCCTCGGACTCTTCTTCGCACACTCAAATCCCTTCTTTCGATTTAAAAGAAACTTAATTTTGGTAAAAACTGCAAATTGAATATGTTTCTTCCGATTTGATTACAAATATTATGTGTGCGCAGCGTTTCTGTGTTAATACTACTCAACTGGCCAACTCAATTTTTCACTTGATTGCACGTACGTTGCCTGGTATTTGACAGTTTATCCATATTTTGCATCCATAAATATTTTAGCATCAGATAATAATAACAGTAATAAAATACAGTTCCTATCAAAATTCGGCTACCGCCCAGGCATCTGCCCGAGAATCGCTACTCTAAGCTAGACGTTATTCAGGCTTTGCTTGGCCACCCGATCGAAATCAGTTTCTGGTCAGGATCTCCTCCCCAATTTTATAGTTGCCTCAGAGTGCAAGAAGGGTCGGCCGAGCAGAGTAATACCGAGCTAGCAAGCTGCCCAGAGGCTGCCACCCAATCCTTGAGCCGAAGCATACTTATAGTGCGGCTGATTTTCGTGTTCCCAGGGCGGCACCCAATGCAGTGTTGAGCCCGGGTCCACATTTTGTTAGGGTTTATTTACTTCAATATAAGGAATATTTGTAAATTTAGACACCACAAATAACAAACTTTCTTATCTCAGCCAATTCACATGCAAGCTTCTGAAATTATAGACGCTCATGTGTTCTTTATTTCTTGTTCCTCAAGATTTTTTGTGGATAAAACTAATACATTTTACTCTATTAATTTTACTTGATTGATGCAATCGCAAATTTTAAAGGTAAAGTATAAGGCACAAATAAAGGCAAAAAATAAGGCGCATATCTTTTTGGAATACGTATCGGAGTATAGCTGCATTGTCAATTTTCTAACTGATGATGAAGCTGGACTTCGTTTACTATAGTTACCGGTATATGATGGATGAATCTTCGCGGCCTGAACTTGGTTTTTAAATTTCAGGGTATACTTTGTTGATGGAGTCTTTATGAATTAATGATGTGAATATTACGTGATTTTTAAAATAATTTTTCTCATGCCAATCGTATGTAATTTTCTCAAATGTTTAGTTGGCGGTCGCTCTTTTCCATGTGAAGATAAAACAGACTTCAAATGTCGATTTTCGAAGTGAAAACGGCTAAAAAGTACATAGAGTGATAAGAATGGATCATTATTCAAATTGCGATAAATTAATTGCCTATTGGTGGATCAATCTGAACCAGTACGTATGGCCCATAAAAGTTGTGTATCAGAGCCACGCACGCTTTCTGCTCGCGCTCTGGCTAAGAAAGTGAGCCACTGTTTAAAATATATGACCAATTCATTTTACAGAATATGTTCGTATATTTTTCAGCAATTCAATAGACCAAGTTGTTGGACAAACGACTTTTCCCGTTTCTTTCACTCGTACAAATTATTGAGTTACTATTTTCTTATATGTTCATTACCGGGAGCGGACGAATGCATAAACACAAACAAAATTTAGTTGAAGGGTGAGATTTTGTCCAAATAATAGCGATGCCCTTATTTTTCCCTCTGTGGGACATCTATACTTTGTTTTGCCTTGCAAAAGGGCGGACCAGTGCTTCTTGCTGAGAGTGTAACACTATTGGGACAATATGACCCAGTCATTTTTCTGAGTGTGGATTATTTTCTTTGCAATTGCATCTCAACCATTAATCAAAATCCTTCAGTTTAATAATACTCTTAAGGACCATATGAAATTAACCATTTGGGTAAAAGGAAAACGGTTAAGAACTGCTAATTTTGAAACGTTTCAAAGTTCCTAATCGAGTACTCCCTTCGTTCTAGACTGACTTAATCACTTGATAAATGCAATCACGAAATAGAGTGCCTTCCCAGCAGGCATCTGACTTTGAAAAACGTTGATTTGTTTGTCAACCAAAATTTAACGTTGAATCAACTTCGAAATGTGACCAGTAATCACAGAGATGTGGTTCAACTTAATTTCAACGTTGAAGCGACGTCGATCTTGATAGGTTGAATTTGAATTTTCAACATTGATTCAACGTTATCACACCAACAAGGAATGATGTACATGAGCATGTATGTATATTGTATATATATGTGATTATTTTGGTTAGCCTATTTATTCAAACGTTTACCAAGCGTAATATATTTTCAGTAGGTCAGCAAAGAAAAAACCTTATTGATTGATTTTGTTAAGTGATTTCTATGATTTTTTTCTACTGGAAATTTTTAAAATGGAATTGGTTTTTTTATATCGTGGAAGACTTGCTATGAAATAATTTTGAAATATCAAGAAATTTTAGATGAAATAGTTATCGAAACAACGTTTTCTCCTTCCATCAATACTTCTTTTGAAGCTTTTTTGACTATGTTATTCTGTAAATTCCCATTTTAACATCCAACAGTATTCTGTTATCAGGTTTTACATGCCATTGACTTTGGTATCTGTGCTCAATTTCTCTTGTATATTTATCTCCTGCGAACAATTAAGTCACGAAAATTACAAGAATCGGCGACAGGCAGAACCTGGCCTATTCCTCAGTGCCGAAAGTAATATACTATTTATGTTATGCTGTCTATGCTGTACTAAGAGGCTTTCTACTTCGCAGCGGCTGCTTGGCATATTTTCCTTTCTTATATCGGCTATATTTCCTATATATATTATACATGTTTCTCTATAGACATATTTTCCTTTCCTATATCGGCTATATTTCCTATATATAGTATATATGTTTCTATATAGACAAATTTTCCTTTTCTACATCGGCTATATTTTCTATATATATTATATATGTTTCCATATAGACATTATATCCTTTACTATATCGGCTATGTTTCCTATATATATTATATATGTTTCCATGTAGACATATTTTTCTTTCCTACATCGGCTATATTTCCTATATATAGTATATATGTTTCTATATAGACAAATTTTCCTTTTCTACATCGGATATATTTTCTATATATATATTATATATGTTTCCATATAGACATTATATCCTTTACTATATCGGCTATGTTTCCTATATATATTATATATGTTTCCATATGGACATATTTTTCTTTCCTACATCGGCTATATTTCCTATATATATTATATATATTTCTATATAGACATATTTTCCTTTCCTATATTGGCTATATTTCCTATATATATTATATATATTTCCATATAGACATATTTTCCTTTCCTATATCGGCTATATTTCCTATATATATTATATATGTTTCTATATAGACATATTTCCCTTTCCTATATCGGCTATATTTCCTATTTGTATTATATATATATTCCCATATAAACATATTTTCCTTTCCTATCTCGGCCTTATTTATTATACACGTTATATATATTCCAATATATATTCACAAAGGAAACAAGGAAACTTTGGGTGACTTTTTTGTCAAGCTGATAACATGGAAATAGCTGTCAAACCTTCATAAATGGTCCGTATGTGGTATGAGTAGTTGAGTTTGTTAAGAAGAAACTCAAGATTTTCTTGGCATTCTTTCAAAAGGACTTAAGGCTCAACATACGTGCATCATTTAGTAACCTGTTGACAGTAAAAAAGTGCATAATTCAGACTAAATATACCACTTATAGAAACTATAATCTTGAAACATTGTACGCGAGAAAATCTGAAATCAGGCAAAATTTGTGACATATCTGAGGGCAATGGACTTTTTTCATCATTTTTGCCGTGATCAGCAGAAAAACTGTAAACCCATGTTGCTAAACTCACTAGTTAAATATGCGTGGATTTTTTCATCGCAAACCTGTGTTACCGACGGACTTCATATCCCCTCGAATTTGAATTGTTTAGCCTGTCACATGACTAATTACCCATTATTTGTATGATCATGTTCACTTGAGTTTATGTAATATCTTATATACGATTAATCTTATATATTCTACTACTTTTACACCTATACTCCTATTAATGTACTACTTATATTCTATTTCCTGAACTCAAATTCATGCTATGAATTCTTACTCACTACGAAATTTTTTGGGCTACAAACTCAATAGAGTTTTAACGATGAAATAAAGTTCCGATGAACGGCAGTTAAATAAATGTTTTATGTACCTTCATATCTCATTTCATCGATCCCTGCTTCGTCGATAGTCGCTGAAGTCGATATTATTTTCCGACGTTCAAGTTCTACACTTGAATTCTTTCATGAAGTCACTTGGAAATTATCTTAATTTTTTCTTTTCTCACCAAATAATGCTGTGTAGCGTTAGGTATGGAATAATTTTGAGGAATGAAATGCTTTACATTTGCCCACACGAGACATCTGACATCTGTAAGCATGTTTTTCTATAGAACTCGAACATGTTTTGTTATCGCTGAGAAAGCAAAGCGACAACAAATAAATAGCTGAAATGGGTTCAAGAAATCGGTGTCACGAGGCGCTTTCCAGGCATGACAGACTGAGACAAAGCACTCATTTTACAATAAGGGCGATTTTGCTGTAAAAATTATGTTGGGGTCAAAGTACGAACGGGGTGTAATGTATTTTGTTGAATATTTGCTGAAATTGAGATTTAACCAAATTAAGTTGAAGCTGAACAAGGTTAAGCTACAGATTTAAGAAGGTTAAGCTATAGATTTAAGAAGGTTAAAATACAGATTTAACAAGGTTAAATTAGAGATTTTTCATTAATACATGCAAAATTCAATTATATTAAACTGAACATTTAACAAGATAACATTGAAGACTACATAAGAGCCGCTGAAGATTCAATAAGATTTAAGCAAGCGTTGGAATCCAGTTTATTGGTTGCGTTCATCACTCGAAATGTTCATGGTTAATCATCGAATTCAGTTGAGCCCTATCTGATCAATTACGAAAATACATAACTTTACAATTTTCTTCACGCATTGTTTCTGATGAACGAATAACCTGTTGCGACAGTACATTGCTTGAGGTTTGTGCTCAACATTATTTTTCAACAGTAATCAACACCTCTCCCCCTGGCTTCCCATGTAAAGCATGTAGTTTAATAAATAAATTGAAACTTCATACAAATTTACCATAAAAGAATGTCCTGAAGTTTGGATGTT